AAGATCATTATTTGGAAAAAGTGTCTGTTGGTTCAATCCTTGCAGTGATATTTTCGTCTTTTACATTTGTTCCAAAAATGAAGCTTTGCATTCCATGAATAATTAACTAAAGTGTTCAATGTCAGATTTCCTCGCTCGACGTTCCTCCGAGAAAACTAAAGAAGCATTAAAATGTTCCTAATTTTTCATAAATCACTATAAATAATACATGAGCTTAATGGAAGTATTTCAAGCTTTGAGATTTCAAATGTGTCACTGAAAATTAAATTAACCAAATTAGACAAGGAACATGAGAAGCATTCACGACCTGTTTCGCTTATTATATTCACCTGTAACATTGTGTTTATTAATTAAATTATATCTTTATGTTATTACGGTAAGAAGTGAAACAAAAAAAACTTATTTTTTTTCAACATCAAAATCTCATTTTTATTTCATAAAAGTTTTACAGTATATTTTAATTAAATTATTATTTATTTACAAACTTCTGTTTTCATTCTTTTCATTTCAACAAAAAAATTTTTAAGTTGATTTGTGGCTTTTTATTCCTTACACATTAATTTCTAATATACATTATTTCATTTAATTTAATTTTATGAGGCAAGCTTTTCTTCGAATGTTTATAAAAACCAGTGCAGTTTCACTTCACTCTAGTTCTCAATCTCTTAATTTTTACCGCAATGTTATGTTTTTTTTGCGCAATGAATCGTACACAATGAGAAACACTTTAAGTCACTTAATCGATTATGTACAGTCTTAAATTATTTAATTGAATGTCTCTAATTGTGTATACATTTAATATAAAATTTATAACATTACAAATCTTTTTTACTATTGCTTTACGAAATCCATATAAAAATATCCTATTCATGTTTAAAACAAGCTTTTTTTATTTATTTTCTATTGAATGAATGTGTCTCATTTATTTATTTTCACTTAATTGCACCCTAAATACATTATTATGAATTTATATATTTTTTTTGTTCAAATCTTGATTTTAATTAAATAATTATTTACAACAATTTTTTTCCTTGCTTTGTGCTTTTTTTGTCTTAAACATTAGTATCACATTATTGGGCAGATATAAATTTTTTTTATTTTCATATATTTTCAATATTCATTTAATTAACTTTAGACTTCAACATGTGTGTATGTTATATAGAAAACAATATGATAGTGCATAAAAATACATGTATACGAAAGATGTGCATGAGGCACTAATGTAATATTGTATATCCCAAACAAATTGATTGGATACGGTTTGGAAATTCTATTAATTAATAGAAAATTAAATTTTTTGAGTATCACGTACAGGTTTAACATTTTTTTCCACAAATTAATTAATCAATAGAGTTTGGTTTAAATTGAATTTAGCTATTGTTCAGAAGTTTTGAGTAGACTTAGTCACTAAGACAGGGTTGTAGCTAGCAATAGGTATCAGTTTACTTTTGTTCAGTTGCTAAGAATTGATTTTAACTACTATAATAGAGTCGTTATCAGAGATTAAGGGTAACTTGGATCTATGAAGAGGTTGTGTCCTATCCTTCAAAGGTTCTTACTACAACTCTGCCCCGAACCTTTGATTTAGTAATAAACTGAGTATTTAGGTGTAAATAATGTTCTTTATTACCTATTTAAATAGAATTAGAGACATAACTTGAACATTGTCAAGCAAATAATACTGAAAAATGTCTTTTTCAAAGTGTCTAATTCTTGAATCTATTGTCTCACTTCGTAAGTGAATATTAAATTTACCAAACACTCGAGTTTCAAAAAATTGTTGATTCATCAGCCAATCTACGTCTATTTTTTGCTATTTATCACTGGTCTCTTTGTCATTGGAAAGATAAAACACCATATCCACCACCAGACTGCATAAATTAGACATGGCAATTTATAGTTTGTCATAAAATCTTTTTTACATGTGTGACTAAATGAAATGAAATTAAATTTGATTGAAATACATACGACCGACAAAGATTTTTTTTTTTATACTTTTTTCACTTCACGCCATATACGTTTTAGTTGTAACTCGTTCATAATGATTGTTTTTTTTAATGCTTAATTGATTTTTTGTTTTCATTCTTCCTTACTTTCATCAACAATTTAAAGAGTCTCTTTTATGCAACAAGAAAGAAAAACATCCGCCAAACAAAATGGAAAATAAAGAGAGATGAAATATCAAAATCAAGGTTAATGTAATAAAGAGCCTTTCAATATGTAATTGAATTGAGTTAATTGAATGTAAAAACTTCACCTTTTTAACTTTAGACATATTATATACAGTACTGTATGCTCTTTTAATGGTATTGTTTTTAAGAAAGAAAAAAATGCAAAAAAAGCAACTTTTCATTCATCGTTAGTAAAGTTGAAGCAAAAAGACGGGCAGGCAGGCAAGCAAGCCGTAAATAGAGAAAAAGAAATTGAATATACATGATACACTTTAAAAGAAAAACGAATAAAACACTGATTTGTTCTTAATTGCCTGATTGCATGATTGATTTACTTGTTTTTTTTTTTCATCTGTAATGCTTCCATTGACTCTTTCTTTACTTTCATAGACTTGCCATGGTACATGATTGAATTTTTATATTCATCAATTTCACTTAACTATTTTCTTTCTTTTAAAATATTTTTCTTATTCTTCTTTAAATGCTCATGGAGCATTCAGTAGATCGATATATTAAATAATACGTACAAATTTGACCCGAGTGGCATAATGTGGTAGCTGGGGGTTTGGTACTTGGATATACTTTAGCCCACACTAAGGATAATCTCAGAAATAGACTAAGGGTGGACTTAAGGATCAAATTCAATGATTTATTAGCTTTTAGACTAGGGATCGAACTCTAGGGAAGTTGAAAGACACTATGTTAATGACGTAACGTCAAAAACACATTGGAGTGACCTAAAGTCAGCAAAACTGATGTCTGACGACTTATAATGTAAACTAGCCGTAATATGCAGCTCGGTAAACTTTAATATATCGGCATTTTTTTCCTGTCTAGTTCATTAAGCTCTTTCAGCTGTGTAGTTTTACTTTTTTTTTTGAAATATCAAGCTGGAATGAAGCATATTATAAGCACTCTCATTGTTTGTTGAAAACACCAAAAGTAAGAAAGAAAAAAAAATCAATTTTACGCTACTTTTTTTAAAACACGAATCGATTGAAAAAAAATATAAAGAGAAATAATTTTTTTTTATATTTTTATAAGCAAAATGAGAAAAAAATAGAAAAAGAACAAAAATTGATGAAGAATCGAAATAAGAAGGTATCGTTCACTATGTGTATACAATTTTTTTGCTTCATTGAAAAATAATTAAAAAATTAGTACGGTGATGCCAGCAAAAAAATAAGTGAATAGAAGAAAAAAACATTCATTCATTCAATTTTGAAGAATTTTTTGATAAAAGAAGAATGGAAGAATTGAAGGCAATTGAATTAAGATGAGACTTTGATGTTCACTCAACTGTTGTATTGTGTTTTTCTTTCCATCTCATAGACATAATCACGTGAAGGTAAAGAAGAAATTATTCATGGTTTCGTCTCGATTACAATTGCACAAATCAAAAAAAGAGTAAGAAATTCATAATCTTCTCGAAAAATAACCATAAAGGCAATTGAAAAGTCGTAAAAATCAATTTTCTTTCTTTCTTCTCTCGTTCGTCTTCATCACTCAGATTAAAATAAGTTTTTTGTGTATTAATCTAGATTGATTTTTGTAGGGCTTTAAAGAGATTAGTGAAGGGTGACTAGCTTAGTGGGATTTATAGAGACAAATAATGTTAATATCAATGCTGTGTTGTGAGAATTGTTCGAATCCTTGTCACATCTACAGTATGAAATAGTTAAAGAGATCGGTCTTTGATGAGACTCGAACTCACGTTCCAGTAATTCATTTTGTTCGCTAACCACTCGGCCACAGAGGCCTTACTCTCACACTGACAGATTTGACTTCATATGGCTTCCACACAGGTAGCTATGTTACTAAAGTGTGATTTACGAGATTTGTAATTAGGTTAAGTCTTTAAGTTTAAGCTAGAATTGGAGTTTGTTGTCAAATTGAGTCCAAAATCAGTGAAGAAAGTGAGAATGTATTCAGAACATCTTTAAATTAAATCTATGATCAGGGAGGTCTGAAAAAGCCAATTTTTGATAGCAATTATGAACAACAAGTAACTAATTTTTTCTTCAAATCATTCTCCATCTTTATTGTTTTATTCAGAGCATTAATAATATGCTAAATGCTTCATCTCATCTGTGGAAAATTAAATGGAATTTGAGTGCACACAATTTCATTGAACAAAGCCACTACATGCGGTTAAATTGCATAATAAATAACCGTTTTATTCCATGCATTATATTTTTTTTTGTTATTAAAAGTGAGGAAGAAGCAAAAAAAGTCGAACATTCACATGATGTTAAATGTTTTAATTTATAAAAAAAATTAAATTAATTTCATTTTAATTTGACTCACATACGTAGTATATCACAATGTATATATATATTTTTATTGAATGTTTTTTAAAGTACAGAAAAAAATCACATACATGAAAAGGAATGAAAAATATAAAATTCATGAGCAAAACAGTAGGTACGGATTTAAAAAAAATATATTACATAACACTGAAACATGTTGAACCATTTTTTTCTGTCTCTCGTCATAAGCTCGACAAATATGAGTTTATAAAAAAATAATAATAATTGATAGAGTGACATTCGTGAATTACTTACATAATAGCTTTAATCATTTTTTTCTCATTTAGGTATTAAATTAATTTTTATTTACATTCTTTAATTAAATCCTAATTCATTTTGACAGCATAAATTCATTTTTACACAACATCACTTTATTTAAATTTATTTCACTGCTGATTTTTTCGGATTTATTTTTTTTTAATATACAATATTTTTCACTCTATTAACATAACCTTGAAGAAATTAACTTCACATTATAAAAACCTGCCCTATAGCACTCAGCTAAACATGCAAAATGTTATTAAATGTGAATTGATGTGAGATTACGTTGAGGACTCGGATGATGATGATTATTGTGTAGATTATTTAAATGAAAATTTTGACAGAAATTTTCTGGGTCATGATGTGATGATGGTTGGAGTTGTTGGGGTATTTGTTGAGGTGGCATTTGAGAGCCACGATTAAGACTCGGAAGGAAGAATTTAAATTTCTCCCAAAAGAGTTTTTCACTCCATTTTAATATGAAGTTTGTCTTGAGTAGAAGTTTCAGTTCCGGATCAAAGTTTTTATTCTCGAAATTATCGAGAAAAACAATTACCAACTTTTTTCGTTTCTTTGTTTTGAGAATCTCGTAAAATATTTTCTTAAACTCAATTTTCTTCCACTCATTTTTGAGGAAGTTTTCGGATAGAAAGAGAACAATTTTCTGTGAATTTTCACAATTCTTCAATATTTGCTCGTTAAAGATGGAAAAGTCATGAAAGAATAAGAAGAATTTGTAATAATTTCCTTCAGTCTCAAAATACTTTAGAAACTCATCGATCAAGAAATTCTCATCTTTCTTGCTGAATACTAGAAATCCATCGAAAAATTTATTCTTATCGTTTCGCTTACTAAAGAATCTTAAATTAAATTTCTTATAACAACAAAACATTATTCGTTGATTGAAGATGAATATTAGTACGATGAGGAAAAGACATGACAAGAATACAATAAGAAATATTGGAAGATTCTTTTCGAAAAAGAAAATATTTTCCAATGCAAGTTTCTCATTGCAAAAATTCGTCTCATTCATAACGTAGAAATATTCATTAATCGTTTGATTCGGATGGCACTTGAGTGTGTCTTGATAGTCGATAGCATTATGCACTTTAATGCTCTTTATGAGCTCACAATCGCACTCGAGTAGATTATCACTTATGTCTAATTGTACGAGATTTTGGGGTAAAAATAATAAATCGAATGTCATTAGCATGTTACCGTTTAGTTTTAGGACTTGCAATTGCCGCAATTGAACAAATGTTTTACACTCAATGAACTTTATATGATTGTACTGTAGGAATAAATACTTGACACTTTCAAGCTCATTAAACTCATCGCCATTAAGCTGCTGCAATTCATTATTTTTTAAACTTAATAGCTCTAAATTTTTCAAACCGAAAAACGTCCGATTTGTTATCTGCTGTATGTGTGAGTTATTCATATAGAGAATTCTTAATGCCCTACGTCCAATAAATGTGAAATCCTTGATTGTTTCAAAATAATTTCCATCTAAATGGAGATGTGTCGACTCCATTGGAATCAGGATAGGCAAGGACTTTGTGTAATTAGTTGATGAACAATTAACGAAATTTACATCCCAGTTTGTATTATGATAGCAATTACATCTATCAGGGCACTTTTGTTGACAATCACATGAGAAATTCTCACAGCATTGGCAATTCTTCATGCATACATTTGTGTATTTGCATAGGAATAAATTAGGATTAAGTCGACGTATGGGAATTTTCTCCTTATAATTATTGCCAAATGAACAAGTCATTTGATCGAAGTCTATTATCTTTGGTTGTGTACGAATTGCATTATTTTGTGACTTTAGATAATCAATATTGTTGCCATACGATTGATCCATAATTGGCGGATAATTATTGTCAAAATCATCCATCTTTTGTGCAGCATACGATGGATAATTTCGTGCCTCATCCAAATGAGCTTCTTCTTCTAAAAGATATGGAAATTGTTCGGGATTTTCAATATCAAAATTCTTACCAATTGGTGAATTCATGTTATTTGAATTTACATTGTCCTGCCACATCCACTTTAAATGACAATCGCATATAAGTGGATTACCCGCCAGAAGAAATTCCGGTAATTTTTCATCGTTTTTCGTTGATGAAATTCTTAATGCATTCTCATTGAGATGGGCAATCTTATTATTCTTTAAATCAACCGTCTTTAAAAATGGCTTTTTGAGAAACGTATACGGTGAAATTTTCTCTATAAGATTCGACTGTAGATAAAAATCTTCGAGATTTCGCGGCAATACAAATGCCGAAATTTCCGTCAACTGATTGTAATTGAGATTGAGTGTCTTGAGATTTTGTGATATTTCGTTTGGATTTTTAATTACGTTTATTTGATTCTTTGAGATGTCGAGAAATTGAAGGTTCTTTGGAAAGTTTTCATAGTCAAACACTTCAAGAAGATTTTCTGATATGTTAAGGAAAACGAGTTGTGTCAAGTTCTCGAACATATAGTCAATATTACGAATGGAATTTCCATCTAAACGTATCGCTTGAAGGAATTCATTAGCGGCAAACGTTTCACGATCAATGTGACGAATTCGATTTTTCGATAAATTAACAATTTGGAGATTCTTCAAATGTATAAACTGATTCTTCTCCAATATCTCGATTTGATTCTCCGTCAATCGTAAGCCGTAAAGATATTTTAGATTCGGTAAATTTTCTAAATCGGATAGATTTTTTATGAAATTTTCACCGAGGTCAAGGAACTTTAAATATTGAAAATTCTCAACGAAACTCGGCACTCGAAAGAATTTATTATTGTTTAAGTGAAGATCGACAAGTTTCATTGAATTTGCTACCAAATGCTTCTCAACCGAATAAATTTCATTGAAGTCAAGTGACAGTACATTGAGATTAGCGAGTGAATTGAGCGAGAAATTGACATTCTTTATGAAATTATGTGACAATACGAGTGTCGAAAGCGATGTTAAATTAGCAAAAGTATCCATTCCAATGCTTTCAATTAAATTATTCTTCAGATCAAGTACCTCGAGTGCTTTCAAGTCGGCAAATATTGAATTTTCTAACGCTGTGAGCTTATTATACGATAAATCTAGCAGTCGTAAATTAAATAAATTCTTAAATGTCATAAAATTAATCCAATTCGATGAAAGGAAATTCGATGATAGATTCAACAATTCGAGTTTCTTTAAATTGGCAAGTATCTCGGGTGGAAGAATCTTCATCGCATTCTTCTCTAAATTCAGTGTACGTAAATTTTGTAAGTTATCAAATAATTCCGGTTGAATGCTTTGAATCTTATTCTCACTCAAGTCCAACATATCTAATTGCTTTAGATTCGAGAACACGAAGTTCTCAATAAAGGAAATTGAATTTCGATTAAGTCTAAGTACTTTAAGATTAACGAAATTAGAGAAGAATGAGAAAGGAAGAAAATTGAGTTGATTATTTGTCAGTATGAGATACGACATTGAGAAAACACAGTTCTTAATGGGTGTGGATGAGAACTGAAAGTTCGTCAAGTTATAAATTTGATTTGACGATAAATTAAGGAAATTTAATTTATGAAAATCACAAAAGAAGTTCCGATGCAGCTCTCCAATGCCATTATCACTTATGTCTAGACTTTTAATATTTTGTAAATTATCAAATGGCTCATAATCATTTGTTGAGCCTATATCATCCATAACATCATCATAACGACCCCAAAACGTACGATAATTTCGTATCGTTAGACTATTAAGTGATTTAAGTGAATTAAAATTTCTAAGAAAATTTCCATCACAATTCTCAAGAAATAAATTCCTCAAGTTTTCAAAACTATCGAAAAAATTCGACTTGCCAGCATTCTCGGCAATAAAAATTCTATCACAAATAATTTTTAAATTTTCTAAATTCTTAGCTGACGCTAGTGGGAATGTTTTTGGTAATTTCTTAAATGTACATGACAATAACTTAGTGCTAGAAAAATTTTGTTCATTTGATAAAGTCATAAGTAGTGACTCGTCGAGAGTCTCATAGTTGCATTCATCTGTTGCTGTTAATTCCGCCGATGCTAATGAATTTCTTTGCATGAACATAAGACAACAGAAAATGACTGTAAAAGTCATAAATGAATACCTTCTACGCTGTTTCATGATTTTTTTTGTCTTCTTTATTTTCTTATTATGCTGCTGCTGTTAAAGTTTTTTTTTCTTTCGTTTTATATATGTCGGGTTCGTTGTTCCCGCAAAAGAGCAACAAAAAAATAAAAAAAAAAAATTCTGTCTTTTTTTACAACAGAAAAAAATTATCTCAAGCGACGCAAAAATTTCTCTCTCTCGTTTCTCTGTTGATGATTTTATTTTTCAATAAAATTGAAAATTTAAAGCATTCTGGCTTGGTCATTTGATCGCTTTAAAGCCGGTGCTATAAATGCCTTATTTGCACAAAAAAAATACTTTTATTCATCCATCTTTTGCCGTATATATTTTTCGTTTTTTAGCTGTTTAGAGGTCTTCACATATATACTTTTTTATACTGTTCATTGGGCAACGAAGAAGAATGGTAGGCAAAAAAAAAATCAGCGTTGATTAACAATCATCCGATTTACATTTTTTTCTTGTTAAAGTTTCTTTTTCTTATATTATTCTCGTGTAGTTAACAGACATCGACAAAATATAAAAAGTCGATGTCGATGATGATGATGATGATGAGGATGTGAATGAAAGGAGAGTGAATGAGAGATAACTTGATTTTTTCGAAGGTTGTTGTTATTAATCCTTTATTTTCTCTCTCTCAGTTCTCTATGCTGTTTTTTAATGGCTGTGTAGATGAGACAGAACGAGGTTGAATGCTATCTTAATGTCCAGTAATAATCCAATTTATAGTTTGACACTTTTCTTGATAAACGTTGTGTATTATTTTTGAACACTAGATTTTTATTTCTCGAAATTTTTATTTCTCGAAATTTTTATTTCTTTGCGTTTTTTTTCTTTCCTTTTTTAAGTCACATTCACTTTTTTCATTTCATTTCTTTTTCTTATGTAATTTTTTTTTTGATTATTTTTCTTTTCCTTTTTTTAATTTAATATTTCTTTCCACTGTGGTTTTGTTTCTTTTTCTGATTCTCTTTTTTTTAATTGAATTTCAATCTCTTCATAAATTAATTTATTGTATTTTTTTTTATTATCCGTATAAGTTGATGGCAAAGATGCATATAAATGTAATCCAATAAAAGGGTATCCGAAAGGGAATTATTATTTTTAAATATTGCTTCAAGGAGCTCCTTCTCGATCGACATCCGAATTCTTACAAATATTCGCGATAAGTTTATCAATTACTTAAATATTAATTCTTTATTTTGAAAAAAAAAAAATTCTTTAAAGAATTTTTATTTATTTTTTATTTCTTTAAGTAAAATATCTAAAGTAAGTGTTTTCTTATTTCGCGTCTTTATCCAACAAGATCAGCTCGAACACTAAACCGAGTGTTGTTTGTTGAAGTAACATTCATGATCGTTCATATCTCTACCTCACTTTCCATCCACAACATTGAACATATTGCATGAAAAACTATAAGAATCGTTGTTTTACACAACTACACTCGCAAATCATTGTTTCATTGCTGCTTGCTTCAATGCTCACCGATCGAACGTAAAGTGAGTGAGAGAGATGACTAGAAATTATGCACAATTTTTTAAGCCTTCTTGTTGTGGTTATGTTGTTCTTCGTCTTGTTGACTTAAAACTGGTTTTAAATTTTTTTTACGATGTTTCATCGTTCGGGCCGCTGAATTATGTTCTTTATTTTCTTTCCATTCCTTTTTCTTCTTTCCTTTAAGACATGTAAGACTGCTGATGAAGAAAGAAAAAAAAAGTAAAATTGTTAAAGTTTGTTGTTTCAAGATGAGAAAGAAGGAATGATATAATTGCTCATATAATAATTCTTTACCTGCGTTATATGTGTTATGCCTAAGAAAGAAATTGTTTTTCTATGCAACATCGCTAGTAGAATAAATTCTCTCTCGTTTAAACATATCAGACAGTGGAGAAGGCAAGAATAAAACAGGTAAAGAGGTACAGCATAGTTGCATGTAGTTAAACACAACAACTACGCTTGTGGGCTTCATGAAGTCTCTTTTTTTTCATTCTTTATTATTACTCTGTTGTGCTGCAAAAAAAAAGCCACAACTTACCTATAATTCTTCAATATCAACACAATGTTGTCATGTCATTAATGCGGTGTGTACTCAATGAATGGGAAAAAGTGCAATAAAAAGAGAGATACTTTGCCTGTCTTGTTTCTTGACTTGCTGCTCTTTATTTAATCACGTATTTGTTTAAGATTTTTTTTACTTTTACTTTGCAAAAAAAAAGGTAATCAAAAGTTACATTTTTCTTCCATCTTTATGATGCGAAATCATTTTTTTTATGGAACGTACATAATGAATTAAGATTATTTATTACTCAGACTTTGTTTCTTCACTTCGCATGTCGATGACAAATTTCTTAAGAACTTAGTCATTTCACTTGTTTCAACATAATTGTTTCTGTGGTGAAAATATTGACATTTCTTCTTATTTTACATATTGGACTTAATTTTTCATCTCTTCTGTTGACATTCTCAGCAATTGAATATATTATTTTGTTTGATTTTCACTAGCAACTTGATTGAGTGTTTGTATTGTTCTTATAATATTCGGGACTTTTGGAGTCAAGTCTGTAATTTACGGCAAAATCTCAATTGATCTTGATGAGAAAAGCAAATTGATCTAATTTTTGCATTAGATACATTCAATATTGTATCTTTAAATTCACTTATGTAAACTTTCCGACCACCAGAACAGATCCATAAGATTCTTTAAAACAAACGTTGTTGACTTCTTCAACAAATGTTTTAAGTATATTCTCTGGAAAACAAATGAAGTTCTTGTGGTGTAGAAAATGCTTAAATAAATATTGAATAGCAAGTAAGACTGTGCAAATTGCCGTCATACATGATTTGAGGAACTTTTTACTTCTTTTGAAGGAAAAATTCGTTAGTGATGTCATTTAAAAATATATTCTTATTTTTTGGCAGATGTATCTGTTCTCTATAAGCGTCTGCAGTTTAGGTATGTCCAGAATTGTATTTAAACAACCCTTGGCAAATCTAGGTATGAGTTTACAAGGTTTCTTCTGTCCCTAAATGTAAAACATCATATCCAAATGTCCCCAATAAACCCATTTCTAAAGAAGCTTCATCAGCTTTACTGCCAAAATGTTCCAGGTCATAGCTTTTTTTCATACATTCCAAAATGATGTTAGATATGGAATTATAATTAAGAAACTTTTCTTTCATTTCACAATCTATTCGCACTAATGTGGGATATTGTCAACAGAGAGAACAGAAGAAAAGAAAAAAAAGAGGTATTAAATTTCAAGTCCGGCGACAATGAGAACAACAACAATATGGACGGAGACGAGAAGAAAAAGAAAATATAACACTAATTTCATAGTGCCTTGATTGTATGATAGTTGAGTCGCACAGAGCGTTTGTCGTTGATCCAATCGTTGAAATCTTTTATGTTACTTTTTTCATTATTCTCTATTTTAGATTCGTAGCATTTTGATCTTGTTGATTTTTAACTTCTCTTTGTGACTTTCCATTCATTTAGACATTTTATTTACACTTTATTAGGAACATGTTAATAGTACAGATGGAGTGTCTTTAACATTTCTTGTATCGTTCGTTAAGAAGGTCGTTCTTCCTCTTCCCAAAGCAGCATAAAATTGAAACTTTCTTGTTGTTTAAGAACAAATAATGTTAAAAATAAAAACGAGTAAAATATTTTTATATGCTTTTCGAGAACAGAGTAAAGTGAAGAAGAAATAAACAAAATAAAATTTAAAATTCTAATTTTTTTTTGTTTCTCCATTTCAAAAAACAAAAAAACTGTGAAAAAGTAAATGAAACTAGATTTGAATTGAATTCAATTTTTCTTTAAGTCATTCTTATGTTGTTTTACTTTATTTGATGGCAAATTCGTGAATTTATAATAAGAATGAGAAGTGAGACTGAGATTTCAATTGAATTTGAAAAATTATAGAAGGTGTGAATTGAAATTTAAATGCTGTTAGAAATGCACCGATTGAATTTAATGTTTCGTTCATGTATCATTAAATTTATTTTTATATCCACACTGGGTTTGGAAAATATTTTTTTATGGACCTCAACGGGATTTTTTAAGTTTTAATTGGAATAGATTTTGAGAATGAATTTTAAATTTATTATTTTAACATTATTTGTTGGAATTTCGACAATTTGAGTAATAAACTGAACTTTTTTAGAATTATACATACTTCCATGGATTAAGTTTTGTTTAACATAAAGTAAATAGCTTCTTTTAATGCGTTTGCATCAATTATCATTTATTTTCAGGGAATAAGGTGATAATATACATAATTCATTATGTGAAAAGGTTTTGATCTACTTGAACTTATTAAATGACACCTCCTGATATCATATCGAGTATGACATACTTGATTCTTAGCTTAAAATCTTCGCATAACTTGTCAATCACAAAATTGAGCTATATTATCCATAAATTTCAACTTTGGTGTGAATATTTAACGTAGGATTGCCACCCTTCCTCACCAGCTCATGTTACATTAAAATCATTTCAAACAACATCTAGCTTAAACGTGCGAAAAGCTTAGATCATTTTATTAAAACTATTAAAATTTATTTAGCAAATTTCCTGTTGGTTTCAATTTTCAACTCATATTTGAACAAAAATTTCGAAATTACAACAATTTTGCAAAATGAAATCTCATAAAAATATCAATGGTCTTTATTTGTTGACAAGCTAAAAATTACATTTTGCCTCATTTATGAGTAAAGTAGTGGTTTCATGCTTTTATGATCAAATAAATAATAAAACCTTTCGCTAAATGCAATGTAGTTTTCTTTTTGAAAAATTTTCATTTTCAATCTGAGAATGCACACATATTTTACAATTATTGCCGTCTTGAAAGCTTTCTGTTGAAGTCGATCTGTACAATTACTTTAAGGTGTACTTTGTGTGAGAAATGGGATGAAAGTTTGGAATTGGAATGTTCTTAGGGCGCTTTTTTTGTTGGCTGATTACTGTTGATCTTCTTGGAATGTTTAAGTCA